CACAGTGTGCCAAAGTGACAGTCTGCGTAGATCCACAGGCACCAACCTGGATGCTTCTCTACCGGTCTGTACATGGTTTTATATAACTTTTAGAAATGGTGGCATGGTTGTGTATTTAGGACAATTAAAAATGTCTGCAGACTGAAATAGCTTTGTGATTTAATTTCACAAAAAGCCAGGGAGAATTTGTATTTGTAATTTGCCTTCTTTCTATGTTTTTCCCAGTGCATAAAGAAATATTTTGTACTTGTATGTGTTGTAGGTGTTTTCAGATCCAGGAGGTCACTCACCCTGTTCTCCTACAGCCCCTGGCCAACATTACTTTGAAGGTAAAACTTTAAAAACGCAATTTTCTTTAATATAATTGGTATTTGCCAATGTTAACAGTCAACTCATCGAAGCATATCATTTTCAACAATCAGCATCATTTAATATCAACGTCCTCGGGCAATAAATTAATAGTTATTGACAGTGGATGGCTTCTGGTCTTTTTTTACGCTGAAGCTTCATTGTGGCACAGTTTTCCTGCCAAACAGTTTGCAATTATTCTGTTTTATTAACAAAAAGTTTTAATTTTCTTTATATAATGACAAACAGTACAGTCAAATTACATAATATACCATGTAACTCATACCTTACCGTTTATATTGGTCAGAATTCTCACTTCAGACGGAGCCAATAAACGTTATGCCTTGTTGTTTACTTGAGGTTTTTTGCTGTACAGTGATCATACCTTGCATAAGACAACTCTGGTGCTCCTTCTCATATTTATACATTTGTTTATTGTTAGTCTGTTTTCCTCTCTTGGTGAGTCATTTATTTGAATGAAAAAGAAACGGCATTTCAACTACCTAGAACATCTTAAACTGTTACATCAGTTTTTGGTATCAGAATCAAAAAGGATCCATCCATCCATCCATCCATTATCTACACCACTTGTACAGTTCAGGGTCATGGCGGGGCGGGGGGCCTGGATCTGATCCCAGCTGTCATTTGGCACACACAGCACCCTGACTGCAGCCACTCATTTTGTCCTATGCTTTAAATGTTTGTTGTTTCTTCTTGTCTTTAACATTTCAGGTGCCTACCAACCAGACAGCAGCACAGTGGACCCTGACTACTACTTCTCGACAGTCAGCTCCAGTTTCTCATTGTCTCCTCTGTTCTTGGGAGTAGGAGGAAATGAGGTTGAGGTGCCACTTGAATTGCTTCGACAGCTCCTTAACATGGTACAGAAAAACACCAAGCATCAAACTGCATTCTGGCTCTTTTTTCTCCCATACTGTATGTTGCACCTTTACCAAAGGCTATGTGTGGTTCAACAGGTGAAGAGGTTTGTTTCAGACTCCTTTTTGAAAACCCTGGACGCCACAATGACGGAGGTTATCGAGGTAACCATATGACCACCATCTGTGACAAAAAAATAAATAAATGCAAATCTAAAGTTTAATATATGCCAATATTAGTGAAATTATCGTCTTTCTTTTCTTCTCTTTCAAGTCTAATCCTGGAATCAACCTCTATTACAAAACCTTCAGTGACCCTCTCTATGTGTGCGTGTTCAAAATGCTGCGTGACACACTTTTCTACATGAAAGGTAAAGCATCTCAAGTGTCTTTTTTTATTTTGCATTAAAGCCACACATGGTTGTATACATATAGTCCAATATAATGATACAAATTTAAATCACTTTATGTTTCTCAGCCTTACAGCAGGGATTTGTGCGGGAGGTTCACGACTTCGTACTGGAACAGTTTAGCAGCAGTCAATCAGAGCTGCAGCGGGTACTTCATGATACGGGGGGGTTGCAGGGGGAACAGAGCCCCCTCAAGCTCCGTTGCCAAGCCAACGCTGCCTGCGTGGACCTCATGGTGTGGGCCGTCAAAGATGAGCAAGGTAATCAATTGCAGCAGAGCGTGAGCTGTGTTTAGATGCCAATATCATACTGCCGTTTGAACGTGTTCTTTTGTTCTAGTTGCATCACTTTCCCCTTCTGCTCTATTTTTATTAGGAGCAGAGAATCTGTGCACCAAACTGTCCGAGAAGTTGCAGTCGAAAACCTCAAGTAAAGTCATCATTGCTCACATGCCCCTGCTCATCTGCTGCCTACAGGTATTTAACTACAAAGTAAAAAGAGACTAGATCACTGTATTTAGACAAAATAAATCTAATATTAACTAATTTATTTCCTGGTAATTCATTGGATATTAATAAATTCTCCCCTCTTCCAGGGCCTCGGACGTCTGTGTGAGAGGTTTCCAGTAGTGGCTCACTCAGCCACAACCTCTCTCAGGGATTTCCTGGTGGTTCCTTCCCCTGTTCTTATAAAACTCTACAAGTATCACAGCCAGTATAACACGGGTACACATAATTATTTATGAATTTGTTACCATCCACAATATTAGAAGTCATTGTCACTATTTGATGTATTGTACCAGAGACATTATCGTAAAGTCTGATTTAATATGCGGCTCTTTTGTGAGTCCCATTTCAAACAGTGACACAAGGACTGATTACAAACAAGATGAGACGCATGATGATAAGTTACACATAGTTATAAATCACACAACCAAACTACAATGCACACACATTCGCGTGATGACAGTAACAAATGTTTTCATGTTTCTTGTTTAAAGCATTTAAAAACATTCTGACGTTCTGTATTTGTAGAGCTGAGTAGCTTCCAGCATAGTATTCAATGTAGAATACTAATACTATTTGTATTACTTTGCTCTGGCTCAAGTAAGTCCAGTATGTTGTTCTTCAGACTTCACATTTATTCTTATTTAATGTGCAGACAGCTAGAGTTTTTGAATATTTCATGTAAAATCAATTAAAATTGAGTCTACCATGGAGTCAAAAACAACAAAATCATATGCATCAAGCAGAAAACTCCTCATCTCAAGTACAGCACGATGCATGCTAAAGGAAGTAGGACAACAGTGTTATGGTGAAAACACTGACATTAATTGCGTCATTGTCATCAACAGGCCGTCATTCTCTATTGATCCTTCCTGTGTTTTTATAGATGAGCATACAGACTATTGGAAATTCAGTTGAGGTTACTGATTTTACTGTGCTGCTCACTGCAGTAGTAGTCACAGCAGTAAGCTCAAAGGATGTTACATTATAGAAGATAACATTGTTTTTAGATGTTCCTGCTAAATTCAAATCTTTGTCATTGTTCACAAATATAATATATTTTAAGCTGTGTGTTTTTATTTAATTTGCCCTCTTTTCTTTTTGCTTGCAGCCACAGGAGATATAAGGATAAATGTTACCAATGAGCACTCTCAGTCCACCTTCAGTGTCTTGCCAAACAGGAGAGATCAGCCGTCCATGTATGAGCAGCTCAGAGACATTTCCATCGACAACATTTGCAGGTCAGGTTCAAACATCTGTCACAGCATGTGTTTACAAAAGAACATCTTCAATGTGCTTAAACAAACTTTAGTTGTTCATCTCTGTGTGTTTCTCATCCCTCAGATGTCTTAAAGCTGGTCTGACCATGGATCATGTGATAGTGGAAGCCTTTCTTGCCAGTCTGTCCAACCGTCTCTACATCTCACAGGAGAATGACAAGTGAGCAGCATTGATTGTTGAAACATGAAATAGATGTGCCTTGTGTCCAACTTGAACATTTTCAAGATCTGGACACTGATAAACAGCTTCTCTTAAAATGTGTCTCTCTTGTAGAGATGCACATCTGATCCCAGATCACACAATTCGAGCCCTGGGCCACATCGCGGTGGCCCTGAGAGACACTCCTAAAGTGATGGAGCACATCCTACAAATCCTTCAACAAAAGTTCTGCCAGCCAACTTCACAGCTGGACGTTCTCATCATCGACCAGCTTGGCTGCATGGTCATTACAGGAAATGTGAGTTCACATTTTAAGAGCGTTTTGACTGATTGTACATTTACGAGTAAATGGGTATTTATTATAGGAATGCAGAATCATCAGGCAAACATCTAAAAGTGTTAACCATTGGTGTAGTCAAACATTTTGATGTGTGTGGTATTAAATAAGACTTTCTTTTTTTGTTTGTTGTTTAAACAGCTGCTATGTTATGTTGTTTTTCTTACCCAGAAGGATTGACACGCTGTAATTATTGGAAACCTGCTGGCTGGTGTTCACTGGCTCAGTGCAGAGTGCATTAAGAGTAGGTTTTCAGCAGCCTAGTTTACAACCCACTGGAGTGTAATGGGGTGTTTTTTGACAGCCAGTACACCCAGAATGCAAAAGGTTACAATTAGCAAAGGACTGAAAAAGGATCAGACTTTCTATAGAAGATACAAATCACTTACAAAATCCTCAGTTCTCAGTTTAGATGTGCATGTTATTCATGTTAATAAGAAAATGATAAATGTTCTAATAAGTAAGTCTTTGATGCCTTCGCAACTCTGTTTGACTGTCTTTATTTTTGTCTAACTGTTTTCTGTCCTATAGCAATACATCTATCAAGAGGTGTGGAACCTGTTCCAGCAGATCAGTGTGAAGGCCAGTTCAGTGGTCTATTCAGCCACCAAAGACTACAGAGATCATGGCTACAGGTCAGCATCTGCTTTTACTCGCAGCAGAAAATCACCCAGTGAACCAGGGTGTCATGTGGAAGCAGGAAATGTAGCATTGATTTATGTTGCTTTTTTTTCCACTGCTACTAAGTGGTTGATAGTTGTAGACTATTCTTGTACTACACCTGGTTTGTATGTGTTGTAATTAATGTGTTCTGTTGATATCTACAGTAAAACAATATCTTGCGGGTCATGTAAACGTTTATCTTCATTGGGTATAAATGTGTTTAACTTTTTCTCTTTCTGTACTGTTTCCCCCAGACACTGCTCCCTGGCAGTGATAAACGCTCTGGCTAACATCGCAGCAAACCTGCAGGGGGAGCAACTGGTGGACGAACTGATGGTAAACCTCTTAGAACTGTTTGTACAGCTTGGCCTGGAAGGAAAGCGAGCAAGTGAAAGGGCCTCGGACAAAGGACCCGCGCTGAAGGTATGTGCTTTAATGCATCAACATTTAAACAAAACAGGAAATTCTTAACAGCGTGGCTTAATTAGTAATGGCTTCTTATCTCCTGTAGTCATCAAGCAGTGCTGGAAATCTTGGAGTCCTCATTCCAGTGATTGCTGTGGTGAGTATGTGACGTCTGCACAAACTGCTGCTCAGACAGGGAACATTGCCAATCATTTAAAATAAGAATTTGTGTTATATATAGTATAGTAACAGTTCCTACTTAGAGCACTGTTAAATGATCTACATGAGATTTCCAGTGCCTCACTTGTTAGTGTTTAACTCTAACCACAAATACTGTTAGTTAATTATTGTTAGCTGCAGTACAAAAATCTGTGTCACCGGTTTACTGTTGAATGTTGTTAGAGGGCTCAAAGTGGAGCGTTGTTTTTTTCTCATTTGGTAGAGCAGGCGTCTCGTGTACAGAGGCAACAGTCCTCGTTGCACTGGTCGCGGGTTCGACTCCCGGTCATGATGCTGTTTGGTTCATGTCATCCCCCACTCTCGCTCCACATATTTCCTGTCTCTATAAGAATTTTTGATGTTGAATAAGACACTACAAAAACATACAGACTCATTACTTGATGTTACATGTACATATTGTACTTCTAGAAGTACCCGGCTTTTATCAAAACAATCACTGCAGCTGATTAGCAGAATATTTTGGCCATTATTGACATCTACTAACTATTAGATTGTTAAGGATAATTTTGCTCTTCAGAAGGGTTTTTTTGGTAAAGTTTAGCTCTGTGAAGGATCGGCAACCCGGCCCATGAACACAAGGCAGTCTGTGCGGTGCTCGTAGATCAGGAAGAGGAAGGGGTGGTCCACAGTGAAGTGGATCTGGGAGGAGAGGGGCATGAAGCCCATCTGGGTCAGAGCTGCAGCCTCTGTGCCCTCCTCATTCACAGTGATGGTTCCCTGGTGCTTCAGCTGCAGGAGAGATCAGAAGGTTTATTATTTTGTAAGGATGACTGTTTACAGGTGGTCAAGTGTCCAGGTGACTGAATATTTAGGTTTTGTCACTAAAGCGCTCTAAGTGAAATTATAATTGATTTAGCATTACTCACATAGTTCATGGCAACTTTTTCAGAGGTCATTCCAGAGAAATCTCCGCTCTCTTCGAATAGGTCAGTGAGGCCCATCTCTTTCAAATTTGGAATCAAGTCATAGTTCTGCTCCAGTTTAAACCGAGGCATCACCACCTCTCGAGTCCTGAAGAGAGCCAGAGGAAAGTTTTGTTCATGTTTGTCATTTATACCAGGTTTTTTTTTTTTTTTAAGCGTATTGTGTATTGTTATAAGACTGTCTGCACCTGTTTGTCATATTTTTAAGCCATTTGTTGACAACAGTGGGAGAGATCTCCTGTTCCAAGTTCCTCATGTCAGCCACCTTCCTTGGCAAAGCAATGAGCATGCTGATGTTTCCTGTGTATGGGAGCTGAAAATACAAAACATTATTGTTATTCAACTCAGCTTAATATTCTATCGCTAGGTTTACCAGGGTATGTTAAAAAGTGTGGCACTCTGCAGGTTAAGTTAAAGTTTTAAATCTGTGTTGGCCGCCCACCTGTAGGATGTCACACTCCAGTTCATGGTCCGCCGCAGTTAGATAGTTCCCCTTATTGGTCATCATTGGCACACGGACAGTTGTCTTTTCATTAACTCTGAAGTTGCGATAGTGAGTCATTTCTTTGGGGAACTGTTGTTCCCATGTTCCTGAAAATACAAACAAATAAGGTTAAGACTCAGATAGGAGTTGTATGTTCACTTTTTGATCCAGGTTACCAAATAAAACTGATTGTTCTTCTGCTATCTTTGAATCACTTGCATGATTTGACAGTAGGTGGCGGTCAGTGTTTTCACTTACCTTTGAAGTACAGGTAGTTGAGCAGCATCAGCACCATATTAGGGTCTACACTCTTTAGTGGTTCTTTGATCAACCCTTTGGTGAGCTTCAGGATGCGACGATTGGCTTTGTTCAGGAAAGCAGGGTCCCTGAAGTCCACTGACTGCGGCTCTGCGTAATAAAACTTTTTTGTCTCTGCACGGAAAGTATCCTTCACTGTGACATTCTTCTTAACGTAGACATCATTCACAGAGCGCAGTGTGTAGCCAAAATTCCTCCTGAAGAGCCTGTGTGTTGTCTTCCTGAACAGCTTGTGCACTGTGGTGTTGTCATAGTGATGGCTCGCATTGACAAACTCAGCGAATCCCAGAGCTTGGTAGATCTGATCGTGGGTTCCTGATGCAGCTCCTAAAGACATCATCCCCATGGCGATAGAGATCCCAGCAGGTGCCAGCAGGATGTTATCAGTCTGGTTGACGTCATTGCGAAGACTTCGATAGAGGTTGAAACCAAAATGGGCGTTAACGACATTGAGACGCTGGAGGCGAGAACGACCATGGAACAGCCTTAAGAGTCTGGCCCGACGAATCTTTGGGTCGGAGGGTTCGGCAAAAATATCGATGTCTGGAGCTGCTGTGGGAATGTCATCTATCTCATCCCCCTCACTGGAAAAAATCATAAACTCATTATCCAGCAAGTTAAAGGAGAAATTAACATTTGTTTTGGTGATTTTCTAAATAAAAAGTAACTGTTTATTTTTGCACATTTTAAGATCAGTGCTTAAATACAGTTTTTTACATTTAAGTATTTCTAGCTATTAGGGAAACTCTAAGTTTATGATGAGAGTAACCTCTGTTAGACCAACTATAAACAAGTCATTTATCTTTTATGACTTTACACCTCAGCTTCTTCTCACAATCTTTTTTTTTTTTCATATAATCCAACAGAAGGAGAACAAACTTTAACACTCACATGTAGTCGTCATTGCCAGCAGCCAGGATCTTATCGAAATCAATATAATCCTCATCATCAAAACCGTCAAAAACCAGATCTTTAGTGACCGTGTTTTCTTTGTGGAACTCCAACGGGATGGCCTCTATATCCACGGCCCCCCCTTCAAAGCCTCTGGGATCCGGCTGAGGGTCAGTGAAGTGAGACTCGAGGTCTTTGATCCCGGCTAGAGACGGACTGACCAGCAGACAGGCCAAAGAGATGACAGCGATGACCCACATACTGAAGGCTTAGGCAGAGCAAATTCATATTAGTATATAATTAAAAATCAGATCAATACTAAAGTAGATTAGAAAAAATTACATTCCAATAAATCCATATCATAAATCCATGTTTTCACTGTCTAAACATAGAAAAGGTTTGGATATAAATGTCCTTTATGGCAGTCTCTGTCAGTAAAATGTCTTACCTGAACTGTGTGCTGGTGGGAAGTGCTGTGCTGCTGCTGTTTATAGGACAGAAGAGCAAAGAATTGAATGCAAAAGTGAACTTTGATGTGGGCTCTTCCTGAACAAATAGACCAGATCAAACAGAGCAAAAGGTGCTGTGCCTGACTAAAACCTTTAACTCCTCACAATTCAACTTGTTTGTTAAGAAGACTCAGATTTCATGAACTTAAACAGGTTTGAGAGATATTCTGCAGCTGGTTGTTTTTATCATATATTTATTGTATTGTGTGTCGAACAACTCAGATAACATTTAAACTTTCAGCATAAAAATATGTCTCCAAAATGTCTCAATCTTCTTTGAGATCCCTTTTAAATAGAATGTGATAATTTGCATTATCTCTGTCTTTAACCCACTTTATTTGTCCATTTTTGTAACTCCCAGTTGACCAGAAGGCTTCCACCAATCAAAGAGGCCAAACCGCGTCTCCAGAAGCTGTTCAGGGATTTCTGGTTGTACTCTGTGGTCATGGGTTTCGCTGTGGAAGGATCAGGTGAGCAAACTAAAAACTGATGTCAGTAAATTGCATGTATACCAATGATGTGTTTTAATTTGTTAAATTTTTGAATGGTTTTGTTTTTATGGCTGTCCTGTATATGTCTGTTTGTATTGCGTTTGCTCACTGTGCAAGGCAAATCCCCCTAGTGGCAATACAGGTTTTCAGTCATTTAGTCATAGTAAATGTTGGAGCTGATATTTAAATGTAGGTTTTGTAAAAAAAAAAAAAGAATAAATAGCCAATAACTTTCTAAAAGATAAAAATGTTAAAACATCAGAATGCCCTTTAACTTCATTTGAAGGGCATGCGTCCCATTTTCTCAGCCATGTTTCCTTAAGCGTGTCATTAAGTTACTGTTAGAAGGTGGTGAATGTACTTTTAACTAATTAGGAAGATTCAATTCCTACCCAATGAGGAATACATTGTATTTTTGTAATAATTAAACATGATAGATGGTTGGGTTCGCTTTTATCAGTATCAAGCCAAGTTTAACCACAAACATGACAACAGTTTTTTCAAAGGTCTTCATACTTGATCCAAATTAGAGAATTTAGCATCCCAACAGGTATCATTCGTAGTCCTGTGGCTCTCTGAATATCTGAATATATATTTTGTCCATTCAGGGCTTTGGCCAGAGGAGTGGTATGAAGGAGTTTGTGAGATCGCCACCACGTCTCCTCTACTCACCTTCCCCAGCGGAGAACCTCTGCGCTCTGAGCTACAGTACAACTCAGCTTTGAAAAATGATACAGTCACACCGGTACAGAGCTCATATGGATTTTCTTTCTTGAAGTGAGGTGGTTACATTATATGATAAAACAAAAACGTTTTTAATTTACTTTTAAACTGTCCCTACGTGTCCTCCAGGCTGAGTTAAGTGAGCTCCGGCTAACCATCAGCAACCTCCTGGACCCTACTCCTGAAGGATCTGCCCTCATTAACAAGCTCGACTTCGCCATGTCCACATACCTGCTCTCAGTCTACAGACTAGAATACATGAGGTCAGCTCCATTTCACTCATGTGTCTGGATACTTCTGACATAATGTGATGTCAGACTATGAGGATTTGTAATATCTCTCTCTGATGTTGCACACTTTCAGGATGCTACGATCCAATGATCCTGACAGATTCCAGGTCATGTTTAGGTACTTTGAAGACAAAGCCATCCAGAAAGACAAATCCGGTAAGGAATTTATTTATTTCATTGTTGCATTTAGTATTTCCCCCCTGCTATGTATTTACTTTTGTCAAATTCCTGTTCTTATCTTTGCAGGCATGATGCAGTGCATCATATGTGTTGGTGATAAGGTGTTTGATGTCTTTCTCCAGATGATGGCAGAAAAGGTAGGTACTTTGGTTTCTACGGAAATGAAAGGTTATGATACACAATTACAGAGGCCTGAATGTATTGATGGCAGTATATATCATTCATCACTGACAGTGACAGCATGTTTCTCATGTTTTTCAGCCCAAGACCAAAGAGCATGAGGAAGAACTGGAGCGACATGCCCAGTTCTTACTGATCAACTTTAACCATACACACAAGAGGATCCGCAGAGTGGCAGATAAATACCTTTCTGGTTTGGCTGAGACGTGAGTAGTAATGGTTTAAGAGCCTTGCCTGCCTACAGGTTTTTACATAATTATCATATATATATTTATTTATTTATTTTCCTCATGGGTTTTTACCTTTTAACAGATTTCCCCATCTGCTTTGGAGCGGCCGTGTGTTGAAGACAATGTTAGACATCTTGCAGACACTCTCACTCTCACTAAGTGCTGTAAGTATGAGAGCTGGTGTGAAGAGCACAGCACCAGGTTAACGGTTTATATCTCTATAAATAACATCAAGAGGTGTGAAATGAAATACGGCAGCTTAAATTCAACATCAAATAAAAAGGTGTTAGGTGTGGAATTAAAGCTAAGTTCAAATATTTTTACTTGTTTGGGTTGTTACAAAAGGCTAACAGGTTATAACATGGGTGTGACTGTGAGCTTCAGTTTCAACAGATGTTGTTCCTTTATATTTAGGACATCCATAAGGATCAGCCTTACTATGATATTCCAGACACCCCGTACAGGATCACAGTACCTGACACATATGAGGCCCGAGAGGTGAGTTGGATTGTGTTACACTTTTGACCACTAGAGAGCAGCATAACACTGGTTTGAAAGACATCAAGAAGCCGCTTCTTGTTCAGTTGTCCTTTTAGGATTGTTTATGCTGTTCATTAAGTAATTAATCCCGTGTGATGGAAGTTAATGGGAGGTTTTTTATCACACCATTTGTTTAACAAACTAAACTTAAATTGTATCAGAGGGATATGTAAGAGGAGGTCTACCTTTTCCCAGCAGTTTGTGTTTTAATTTTTATTTAAATTGTTCGTTTACAAGCCCTTTTGTATTTGATAAATGGTATCACATAAGTAATCAAACTGTTTCTTCATCCTCTTGTAGAGCATAGTGAAGGACTTTGCTGCTCGCTGTGGTGAGATCCTGAAAGAGGCAATGAAATGGGCCCCTTCAGTCACAAAGTCCCACCTACAGGTACAACTCTTTATCTTATTGTTTCCTGGCAGCAGGGAACTCTTCTTCAGCATCAGAAAGATTAACAGAAATACGGCGCTGCAGAGAGTTTCAGCACAAACTCAGATAAAGCATTAAAGTTAGTTTTTTAAATACTGACTGCTTCCTTTCAATTTAAAGAGACAATATAGCTATCAGTAAAGTAAGTTGTAAAAAGTACGTTACAGTCTGGCTTCAGAGTATATTTATAATTGTTGTACAGTTACTGACTCATATTTCCTCTCTTCTCTCTTTCTTGCTCAGGAATACTTAAACAAGCATCAGAACTGGGTGTCAGGACTGTCCCAGCACACAGGCCTGGCCATGGCTACAGAGAGCATACTGCACTTAGCAGGCTACAACAGACAGAGTACTACACTAGGCGTGAGTCCAACAAACATGTTGATATCCCTCGAAGTTTGCACACAAAACCTTTTGGCAGATTTTCAGTTCATGTCCCTAAGAATATTTTATTGTTGGTATAAATATGTAGTTGACACAACAAAAGGCTTCAGTGTCATTTCACAGTATAACAAAGATTTATTTAAAGGGTAGCTCTAAACTCTTCAGAGGCTTGAGGATCCTGAATAATGTAGGCGATGCCCTGTCACTTTTTAAGGATAAAGAAGAAACAGCGCTTTGTAACATCAGTGACTGTCCTCAAACTTTTAATCCAAAATCAATTTTACACTACTGGTCGCTGAGGCCTTTTGATTTGTGCTTATTAAAATTGTGTCGAACAATAAAAATTCAGTTTTTAAATATGCCCATTAGATTTATTTTTTTAAAGCTTTTGCAGTTTTGTTAACACTGATAGTCATGACTATTTGTTGTGCTTAATTCTGTGTGTATTCTGTAGCTTTATAAACTCTGAGCGTCTGGGTGTAGCTGTTAGTTGTTAACGGTTCTGTACGTCTATATGTGCTTGCTTAATAGTCTTTGTGATATTTTTTTGCTTGCCCTACATATTCTTGTGTGTTCCTTGGCTTGCATTCTGCTTTATCTGTCTTTTCATTTGCTTCATTTGTTGTATTTTGTCTTTATTAAACTGCACCGAACTACCTACCTGGTTGCTTGGCTGGTTTGCGGATTTCTGGTTACCTGGTTACTTACCTGCAATGGATTGGTGGGTTTGTTGGCTGGTTGCCCATTTGGCTATTTGACGGGTTATGCTGGGGCTGTCCTCCACCATGTGGCCAACCATAGGCTGCTTACCCTCAGGTTGGTCTGAAAACTTTATACAGTGAGACAGGGCTCAGGCATGAGGCTTTAAGTATAACCAGAACTGTTACAGAACAGCTATGTAACCTGCCTTCCCAGCCAGCGACTGTGTGGCCTTAAGTTGCCCCTACACTCTGTTTTTCATCAGACCACCCAGTTGACAGAGAGACCAGAATGTGTGAAGAAGGACTACTCCAACTTCATGGCTTCACTCAACCTGCGTAACCGCTACACCGGAGAGGTGAAGACATTTCCTGACTGTGATGGAGCTCGCCAGACTTTCTGCATCGAGAAGAGTAATTCATACCTGTCTGTTTATGTGCTGCTCAGGTGGCAGGCATGATCCAGTTCTCAGAGGCAACTCACAGCCAGTCAGACCTCAACAAACTGATAATCCTTCAGATGACCAGCGCTCTGGACAAGAAAAACCCAGAGGCCTTCACCCAGTCCATGTTCAAGATGGCTGCCTTGCTAATTACTACCAAAAGTGAGCAGGATTCCTCATTTCATTTGGATACAGAAATAATGGCCAATCATGTAAAGATTTAGTTCTGATAATTTTCTGTTTTTTCTTCGTTCAGACTGTGATCCTCTGCTCCTACACCATCTGTGTTGGTCTCCTCTGAAGATGTTTACAGAACACGGAATGGAAACTGCGATCGCCTGCTGGGAGTGGCTCCTGGCTGCACACAACGGGGTGGAAGTGCCTGTG